TGATAGTGGAGACTCAGATCAGGAAATACCAGTTAAAGGCCGACGTACACTTCCCGCTTTCCACTTTTGCCCGCCTCCTCCCTTCCTATATCCTCTCCAGTTTTTACCTTGCCCCAACTTGGCTCCCCTCGCAGCTTAGGAGAAGGGAGCGCTTAGAGTTATCTTCCCTGCAGAAAACCGACGAAGTACGTCCAAGAAAGTTACAGGAGCGAGAAAAAAAAATTAAATGCGAGTATGCAGACTAGTTCTGCCTTGGAGACAGAGATAATTGAGGGAAAATATTGGTAGCGAAAATTTATACATTTCTAGAGGCAACCGAGTGTAGTTTGAGGCCAGGACAAGTGTGTCAAGAACTAAGATGTACCGAGCTAAATATTATTATATAAATAGTGTGTGGAGCGTGTACGAATAAGGAGGAGAGAGCTAAACAGTTCATACTCTATTGTAAGTGGCTTCACTTTGCAGTTATCAATGGCGAAACTGATTTAATAAAAACGATGAGAAAAATAAACTTTAAAAAAAATGGAGGTGGTCAAGCAGAGGTCATTTGACTTGTGACATAAGTCGAGGAAAGAATAAATATTTTCTTATTCTTTTTTGTGGATCCGTTGGGCAGAAGGTGCGCCCACTTGATTACGAAGAAACGCTTCCGTCACACGTATCGTAATTTTGAAAAGTATTACTATTATGTGGCTTAGCCACAAGGTTTGTGTATCGTTAGACATAGGTTAACTGTTCATATTAGAAACAGTGGCTAGTGGTGGAAGGTCGTGTAACTGAAATTTCGGCTGCACGCCTGATGCTCGATCAAAATGCTTCCTCAGTCCTTCCTTGAGGCGTGCCAGATACAATTTGTTGGTTCGGCTTGTGTACTTCCAAACTTTAATATCATTTTTAGTTATTTTGTGGAACTAAGCTCCTGCGCCTCTACCGCTGCCAGCACTGTACACAACACATGAGATGAAGTATACATGGCTTGCACTGACATCACATCAGCTGCCACTGTGGTGTTCTTGCTGCTGAGCGTTTATCAATGAATGTCGCACTGCTCAATGTGCTTCTCTCGGCAAGAACAAGCGGGAATTGCCATCAGCACGATGCGATGATGTCATGACGTTACGTTCAGCATGCATAGAGAACCTCCCTAAGATGAATGAACTCTCTCGGGGCCCATTCTTCTCTATGAGAGAAGCGAAGGCTATGTAGGGCGTTTCGCACCTTCAGACAATACCCGTGCGCATGCGATAAACAAGCGTAGGTTTTAATTATCGAAACATTACGAGTAACTAAGAGCACATTTGTTTCTTCTATTCAACTGCACTATTCGGCACTCCCGCGAAACGAACGGCACGTAGCGGCAAATCACTCAACTGGCCGAAAAAGGTCCTTTCGAAATTTTTGTTTTTCTCTTGTGACTTCTGTGCTTAGGGGCTGATTTATGGGAGAGGCAGGCTTGGGGAGGGGATTGGGGGGGGGGGGGGGGGGAGACATCTGTAGAGTCATCTGACGTCACAAAGGAAGCGTTACTCTGTTCTCCTTTTGTTGGTCTAATATTTTCCATTTTACTTAACAGTTCCATAAAAAAAAAGTAAGTGTATGTCGTTTTTCACATAAAAAAAGTTGTTCTCGGGGGGCTTAGGGAAAACAGTTCCTTTCCCCTTCCCTTAAATCTGCCCCTGTCCAAACCCGAGCGTTGTGCGTGAGCGGGCACATGGCACAGCACAACCTGTTTTCGGCCACTATGTATGTATGTATGAATGTAAGAATATATGAATGTATGAGTGTATGAATGTACATATGTATGCATACATGTATGCATGCATGTATGTATGTATGTATGTATGTATGTAGGTATGTATGTGCGTACGTGCGTGCGTGCGTGCGTTTGGTAGTCTTTAAACCAAGACTATCAAAAAGATGCTTTAGTCGCAGTATATGTTTGATGTACCAGAAATAGAACCAAATCAGCTTGCTCGCGTGTCTTTGCCAGGATTGCATGTCATGCTTATTTTGAGAATTCAAGTGGTCTAAGGCCGCGAATCTAAGGAAGGGTGTCAAAGATGATGCTGCACCTACTTCGTGAGCCTTGTCCCTCGCAATGTTCTCGAACGGCCAACAATAGAAAACTGGAACTGTAAAGCTCATTCAGCCAACCCTATGGCGAACACAACAACGTTCGAAGCAACGTGCGCCGTAAATGTACAAAGGAGCGCACAAAATACATAAACAAAGACGCCGGGGGCTGTTGGATCGCCTTGTTTGGTGACTGCGCAAAAACAAGGCTCGCGTTAGCCTTTTCCACGAGCCGCGCAATCTGCATCGCACAAACTTTCTGTGGAGGCTCAGAGCTAATAGTCCTAACTTAGAGCTCTCGCAATTTCCGCCGCTCGCGGAGCAGGATGTGCCGAGCGCCAGAGTTTCCGGCAAAGTCTTAGGCATCCCCTACTTAAGTAATTTCTAGGAGCAGATGAGATGGCTCGTTGGGTCGTCATTGAAACAGCCATGAGCTGGTTAGATTGCCGTCCCTGCCATTGCACGGGCCCTCGTTAAAACAAGTCTCTAGGGTTACGTAAGTGCACTTGTTTGCTAGAAACTTATTAGAACCGGGACACAAACTCTGCGCACCGGCGGCAACAATATGTCCGCAGGTTGGCACTCACAGACCGAAATAAACAGTGATGGCATCTTCGCGGTAGTTGAAAACAAGCTCGATCAGGCTGCCACGTCATTATCCGAGAGCGCGATAGACGAATCTTTGTTGACGTGAACACACCTTACTGTTTGCTCGCGTGTGAGCAAATACTAACGAGGAGATTAAAACGCAGGGGAGGGGGGTGACCTCAGTTCTTGATCTTCTTATTAGATGAATGCTTCCTACAGTTCTCCCTGTGTCCAAATGAAAAACAAATAAAAACATATAGCCAACGACCTCAAAAGCGAGTAAACACGAAGAAGTCTAGACGACGATAAACACGCGTATCAAAGGAGAGCCACGTGGAAGGAGTAGAGCAATCGCGTCGAGGAACAAAAAGAGAAACCGAAAAGGGATCGAAGATTGGGCCACCGGTTGCCCAAGCACGAAGATACACGGCAAAACAGGCTCTTGACAGAACACCAATTGTTCGAAGCAAGTTGAGCAATAATAATAATGTTACTCCAATCAATCTACTAAAATTAAGTTTGACATCAACGACACAATTAGATCACGCCCCGCACAATGTAGTGTACTTTCGTCGGTGATGTCGTTTATATCTTCAGTTGGGTCTAAAATTGTTACATAACCGCGAAATCTTGAGCAGAATACTTAACAGGTCTAGAAGCACCTTGCGACTTCTCAATACTTTGTTTTTTAAAGCAGAATGATTATTAAATGTGAGCATACTTAATTATCAGAAAATAAGCCAACCTTTCCCACATTTCAATCAATAGTAGTATGTAATGTAACCTCAAAGCAAGACTATTGTGCTCCTTCTGTCGCATGTCTGATTCCCAACGATTTCGTGCCATAGACCCCTTCCGAAACTCACGTGCCGATTATTATGAGGTCGGAACCATTGCACAATGGCGGGACAACTCACAGCGTAGAAGGTGCAAGTCATTCCATAAGAGAGAGAACGTCGGAGCCCGGTCAACAGGAGCCGACAAACCGATCGAACACGCGTCGAGAGTGCAAAGTCTGCGCTCATCACCCTTTTTCCTATGGGTGTGTTTTTGTCTTTTAATACAACCAAACGCATAAAAGTGTGCCGTGACGTTACGGATTTAGTCCGCCATTGTACGGGTATTCCACAGCAGCCAACAGATGGCTGTCTTTCGTAAGAGGTCTTTGGCTTACGGTTCTTCATGTCCCTGTCCTGTTCCAAACCTACTTACCGGGTCATGTTCTCCTCGCTCCATGTCGTTCTTTTAGGATGGACATATAGGGGTGCAAATATACGACAATGAGCCTCCAGCACTAAGGTTTCGTGAGACGGCTGGCGCCGCGCTACGGCGACTTCTGGAACCATTGGCGCGGTAGGGATCCGGCCAAGCGGTGCTGGGATCATTGTTTCTGTGGTTCGCTGCCTTCGAACCTCCATCGAAACTGCCTTACAATCACGTCTGCTGTGTTGTCGAATGTCACAACAGCCCGGTGAACCCAAGAGTCAGGGGGACACCTGTCCGCTTTGCGGGAATTCCTGTGGTTCCCCTTCCCCGAAAGCTGCGGTAACGGCCGCGGGTCGGAATGCTCGGCCTCCTCCGCCGTAAGCTCCGACCTATTCGTCAAGCGGAGGGTCCCCTGTGTCGGAGGGCCCTCCCCTCATTCTCTCTCGGGAGGATCTCTTTCCGTTCCCCCACTCGGATGCGGATCACTGTTGACAGGCGAGGAGGTTTCACCTCTTGTCTTCCCGCTTTCGGGAAGGGACTCGTGCGGTGACCGCGATAGAGATAGGACGTGTGTCGGCGACTTCTCCGATGCTTCCCCGATCTTGGCTCTCCGGAACCCCGCGTCTGGCAGGTAAAAACATTTTCTTACCTTGCCGGCACGGGGGGCACTGTGGATGAGGAGCTGTTAAGGGCTAGGTTCCCCAGGATCGTGTCCGGTATGTTGACACAAACCTACCTGGAGAGCTAACGCCATCTATAAGCGACGGTGGCAAGCACACAACCAGTATGGTTTCCGCCGTCGCTCGTAGATGGCGGCAACCTTTCCAGCTATAATAGAAGAATGGATAGTTGGGCGCGTTGGTGGGAATTCATCGTAGGACACAGCGTGAAAAACAGACGACGACGAAGAAGAAGCACACAGTGTATGCTCCGCTGGTCTTCCTTCTTCACGAGACTAGAAAGGCTGAACGATTTTTTCTTCTTGTTTACGGGACGACCTTCCCCTATCGTTGATGAGACGTTATCACTATCACTTGCGACGCTTAGAACTTTGATTCGCGTCGATACCATCAACTGAGGTGGCCATCGTTACCAAGAACAAATTTTATTCAACATACGGTCTCACAGGGCACGCGATAAAAGGCTATTTGGCACACGCGCATGTCAACCCGTTCCTGAAGAGCCGTAGAATATAACTGCCAGGGATCGTCGGTTTGTTCTGCTCGTATACAAAATGAGAGTCCGGCGTCTCGAAGCACCGCTGTGTAGCTGCACGGTTGGACGGACGTATCAAAGGCAATGCAATGGCACACAGTTTCCCACGGCAACACTGTTGCAGTGGAAAGGAAAAGTAACGAACACGGACAGCGAGAACGTCTCCAGCCGAAAATGAGACCGGCGATCTTGGCTGCACGCAACGGATGTAAGTCTCGGCGTGTTGCGGTGGAGACGCCAGGGCGCGACCTCACCTCACCAGGACTTGACGGTGTGCGGTTTCGGCGCCGCCATGGGCGAGTATACCTTGGGGACCAGCGTGCCGGAACACGCGTCCGGGGTCTGTCCGTGCGGCGGGGCAAGAGCGTTTGGGAACACGGGATACGGGTGAATGGCGTACGAGGATGCGCTGAAAGGCACGGCGGGTTTGCCGTCGCGAACGAGGACGGGCACGGCCACTCGTCGCGCGTTAGCGGCCACCATTTCCAAGGATTTGTCCTGCTTCTGGCGCTTGCACTTGTAGCGTCGGTTTTGAAACCAGATTTTTACCTGTGGTGAGACCAAAAAAGAAAATGGGTAAATAAAAAATCGCTCAATCGGGGGAGGTTCATAACGTGTACTAAACGTTACAGCGATGTCAGAACAATACAATGCAAGAGTGGCGGCCGAAACTTCACACTGCTTGGGTGAATTACGCGTGCACCGGTTGTTTTGTTTGTTTTTAGACTATCAAACATGTGTTGAAAAGTTCTAGAGGGAAGGAAAATTATCATTCAGGGCAATTAACCTGGGTGGTAAAATGTGATGCTCGTCGTTGCCCTGTCTGTGTGAGACGCGAAATAGCGTCGATGTCGTGTTCGCGCAGTATCGCGCACTATCTCCTAGGTTGTACAATTACATTAATTTCAATTCAGTTTACTTGCGACCGTGCATTCTTTAACGCAGGCGTTCCAGGGCATCAACAAAGAACCGACATATGTCGACTCGGCGAGATTCAGACACCGAGCTTATTGCAGACGGCTAACAAACAATAAAAAATAGGGCAAAATTGAAAGAAAAAGACAGGTAAAATTGGGTGGCTTAGTCAAATAGGCTGATCAGGATTTATAAGAAATATTAATAATAATATTAAAAGATTATCGATGGAACGAAAGTTTTAGCTGATTGAGGATTTAAAAATCCAGTGATAATATTATTCTTGATTAGCATAATTTCTTGAAAAAGGAAGATTGTACTTCAGCAATTGGTAGCTTTACTGAAGATGAATCTAGTTCGGGCTATTTCTTCGTCGATTGAGATACGTTAATAATTAGAAGCACATATTGTTTAATACTTATTACATATGGCAAAAGTAGGTCGTAGTGTGTAGTTGGTGACTGATAGAACGTTTAATTTTATAACTATATGTTGCGTATATGTTAACTCTACTATATTGCTAATAACGTGGACCGCCATTTTTTAACTAATCACTTAGTTAAGTTAGTTGCAGCGACCTCATCGAATAATGAATTTGGCATGAAGAATTGTAAACAGATTTCTAAAAACGAAAGTTACTGACAGTTCCAACACTTAAACTTTTGCTTATGACAGTTTGTGTTTGAAAATCGCAAGACACTTTTTTTTTTTTTGATTAAACCTAAATGTTGGCTATATTTGAAACGACTTCAATGCAAGGGGGGCCAAGTTCAAAGTTTGTATCAAAATTATTTATTTTGTGCTTTAAAATGAACTGCTTTTGGTCTGCAAGTATTAGTTTATAATTGTTTTACAAACATTATAATATTTTATTTGCTGTTTCTGCAAGTAAGGTGAGATTTTTAGCAGATAAAAGTTGCGTAGCGTCATCAGCATCAATTTCAAAGGTTTTGTTAAGGTAATTTTTACAATGCCGATAAACAGCCAATGACCTAATTATACTTGTCTGGGGGACGCCTGTTTCTAATAATTGGAATTCTGAAGGAAAAACGAATGCTTCACATACATGAATAAAGACGCAAACAGTGAGACACTTTTAAATTTGTGAAAACACGAGACTGAGGGAAACAAAATAAGTAGTACACACGCACACACACACTAGTCTCAAACTCGAGTGCGTCGTTCATTGCCCGCTTCCGCGTTCTTTTTTTTTTTTTTTTTTTTTTATAATTTTAGGCAATTTTTAGGCTCCCACTGTTATGCGTCACAAAAGCAACCACTCTAAATCTCCAAAACACAACATTCAGCAGTTTTCAGCCTTGAAATGTACACAGAAACACCCGATCGAATCAGGGCCCCAACTCAGGCGAATTCTCAGCCAGTTCACCCCTTCCCGATCGAAAGTCCCACGAGGACCAACACATAAAAAAGGCAGGAACCTCAAAATCTACATAAATAAGTCACTATCTTGACAAGAAAAACAAACAACATATCGATCGGGTTAATGCAGTAAAGTGGAGATTTGGGCCAGTTGGTTCATTGCAAGCAAAAAAGCGCCGAAAAAATATACAGGGACACAGACGAAGGGAAACAGGACAAGGCGCCCTGTCCTGTTTCCCTTCGTCTGTGTCCCTGTATATTTTTTCGGCGCTTTTTTGCTTGCGGGTTAATGCAGGTGGATAATATCACGATGATTTTTTTTTTTTTTTCAGTTAGCTTTTTAAGGTTTGAAGGCCGTGACAGTTCGATCTGGTCCATCGGTCATTTATAAAGTAGAGTGACACCATTAGCAAGTGTAAAGGTAGGATGTGCTAAGAAACACAGGGAAGGGGAGGACGAATAGTCGCAGTCATTGCTGCGAGGATCTCTTAATGGGACCAATAATATTTGTAACTGATCTTTTAGTGCTTTGCGTAACGCATCAGTGTACAGCATAATGTTGTCGTCCCCGGTGTACTCATCCAAAGAATGCAACTCGCCGAAGTCTCTTTTGTATTTAAAGGCGGTGATAGAAACAATAAAAGCAATTACCGCCCACTTTTATTCTTATCGTGTTTTCTAAGCCCAAAGAAAATATATTGTATTTTCGGCTTGTAACTTTTTTTTTTTTTTAATATTCTTTGTAAACCTAACTTCAATTTCGATTGAGGTGGCATAAAGATCTTCAGAAACGGCTTTATTGGTACAGAAGAAAATAATAAGATGACATTTTGAGAAAAGCTTTTAACGTTGGGAATGTTTATAGATTTTAGCAAAACATTCGATCGAATAAATCACCAAATTCTTCTAAATAAATTATACTGTTGTGGTATTCGAGGTATCGCCGTTATCACTTATCACCTCCTATCTACAACACCAGTCCCAGTATGTTCAAATCAGTCACTACATATCCTCTACGCTGCACATTTCTTTAGGTGTTGAACAAGGGGGTACTCTGGGACGTTTGTTGTTCCTTATATACGTTAGTGATATTTGGAACATTGAACCCTTGACCGAAATTATTATGTATGTTGATGGCGCTAACATATGTTTTACTGATTCCAGGGTGGACTTGCTTGTTATTAAAACAATTTTTTTTTATTAAATTAAAAATCTGGACAGCTATTAACTCGGTGGTTCTTAACACGGCAGAAGCAGACAGTTCTATTCCAGTGTCCTGGGTCTCGAGTTAGTTTTGCTTCAGATTTAGTTTGGGGGTCCAGCACAATAAAGTGTGTTCAGGATATTAAGACTCTAGGTTTAGTGTTTTCTGAATTGATGTCTTGGAATGTTTATGTAAACTATGTTCATCAGAAACTCTGCAGAGTACTGGACATAATGAATAAGTACAGGCATCTACTTCCAGTAAAATTTAAAAAAAAATAGTTTAGAATTAACTTTTCTATTCGACCCTCTGTTACTGCCATCTAGTATGGAAAAAGACTACAAAAAGCAATCGAATCAATTTGCGGCTATTGCAAAAAAAAAAAAAAAAAGCTCTTAACTTCAATTTCGATTGAGGTGGCATAAAGATCTTCAGAAACGGCTTTATTGGTACAGAAGAAAATAATAAGATGACATTTTGAGAAAAGCTTTTAACGTTGGGAATGTTTATAGATTTTAGCAAAACATTCGATCGAATAAATCACCAAATTCTTCTAAATAAATTATACTGTTGTGGTATTCGAGGTATCGCCGTTATCACTTATCACCTCCTATCTACAACACCAGTCCCAGTATGTTCAAATCAGTCACTACATATCCTCTACGCTGCACATTTCTTTAGGTGTTGAACAAGGGGGTACTCTGGGACGTTTGTTGTTCCTTATATACGTTAGTGATATTTGGAACATTGAACCCTTGACCGAAATTATTATGTATGTTGATGGCGCTAACATATGTTTTACTGATTCCAGGGTGGACTTGCTTGTTATTAAAACAATTTTTTTTTATTAAATTAAAAATCTGGACAGCTATTAACTCGGTGGTTCTTAACACGGCAGAAGCAGACAGTTCTATTCCAGTGTCCTGGGTCTCGAGTTAGTTTTGCTTCAGATTTAGTTTGGGGGTCCAGCACAATAAAGTGTGTTCAGGATATTAAGACTCTAGGTTTAGTGTTTTCTGAATTGATGTCTTGGAATGTTTATGTAAACTATGTTCATCAGAAACTCTGCAGAGTACTGGACATAATGAATAAGTACAGGCATCTACTTCCAGTAAAATTTAAAAAAAAATAGTTTAGAATTAACTTTTCTATTCGACCCTCTGTTACTGCCATCTAGTATGGAAAAAGACTACAAAAAGCAATCGAATCAATTTGCGGCTATTGCAAAAAAAAAAAAAAAAAGCTCTTGGGATAATTGCAAACGTTCATCCCCTTTTTATAAAACATAAATTTACTGAATGTATCCGAAGTGTATTCAAATAGAATGATTGCAACTTATAAATGACTGGTAAAAGAAAACGTTAAAATTATTATAGATATTGCAAAATTAGAAAGAAATCAATCAGAATATCCATCGTGTCATTGACACCCCTGCGCAAATTCCCATTCCAGAACAAACTTTGGTTTTGAAAGATTCAGGCACAAATGCTATCCGTTCTCTAAAAAGAACACTGACACCCTCCGAAAAAAAAGAATTTTTTTTTTTTGCCAGGCGATTTATTATGGTGTCGGAATACTACCCAATTAATATTTTCAACGGAGTCACGTATGTTTTTAATAAAGCAAAAAAAAAAAAAAAAACGTAACTGCTCGAAACCGAAACCGAAACCCCCGCACGGAGGTCGGAGAAGTGGAGAGGAGAGAGTGAATGGCGGAAGTCACGTGGCTGCACCCGACCGTAAATTTTTTTCCCCCCGTTTTTACTTTTTTTTTTTATTTTATTTATTTTTTTTACTTCTGCGCGCAGCAGACGACATGTGTGGCGGGGAACCGTTTGCTGTGCGATTTACTGTTCTGCAATTCAAGATGAGTTGCTTTGTACATTCAAGAGTTAGGGCCGGTTGCACCAACGTCGCTTAGCGCAAAGCGGAGCTTAGCCGGTAACTTAAGCTTAGTTTCGGTTTCGTTCGGTTGCACCAAACTCGCTTATCGCTAAACCTAGCACTAAACTACGCTTAACTTGAGCGCTCAACATTGGGCGCTTTGCTTT